GATAGTTGGGAGAGTGATTTATCTATTCCTAAAGTCCATGTCTAAGAAAGGTCAAATGAATTGCATCCTAAAAGTGCTTATTTCTCCTGGCTGACCATAAAGGTTGAAGAGTGACTAACTCAGATGTAAATTAAAATAGTGTAGACATGAAAGCCTGGGTGTGGGTGGAGAGGTGGGGGATACTGAAGTGCACCCCTATTCTTTCATCTGCCGCAGTGGATGGGTCTGTAGAATAAAGACAGATAACTACTCCTATTCCTCCCCCTCCCCCTCCTCCTCCTCCTCCTCCTCCTCCCCCAAGATAGATTTCCACAATTTCATCAGATGAGAGAGTTTTGATTCAAGGTATCTTGCCACACATCACCAGAAATGGCTCTGTATGCCCAGACCTGCCCCACAATATCCTGCCTGAGAGATAAACATCTTCTGCAGGTGCTGCTGCTAAGAAGTTTTGGATCCCAGCAGTTCCAGCATCTAAGCCTGATTTATAGTACTGGTGAATCCGTCTTGGAGCCAGAAGCAGCTTGACTGGATCCCAATTACTGCGTAACAAGGTATGTCTTGTCGAAACGGTTTKGAAGCCAGCTCCTGATCCTAGCTAATCTTTAAGTGCAACTGAACGTTGGCTTCAGTAGCGCATTTTTCCTACAGCAAATTCTCTTTAAGACTCTAGGAAGCTGACATGGGACCCACTTTTTGCAGAAAACAGACTGAACTATAAAAAGCAACATAGTCATACGYATAACTGTTACCCAAAATTCTCACTTATCATTAGCTTCCCTATAGCTTGTCCTTTTAAAAAAGCCACATAGTAATGAACCTTGCCTACCTTTATATGAACCTTGATATCTTTGTTCTTCTCACTAAATGTTTTCAGGATGATCAAATTACACATGATTTCTAATGAATGTTCATACATTTAATTGAWAAAAGAAACAATTGTGAGAATGCTGTTTCTTGAAGTCACTGTGCTTGATTTCAATACCATTTAGTTTGTTTTTTGAATGTTTGATTCTAGAAACTTTGCTTAAAAAGCCCACACTTGGAAGTTCAGATGACCTCAGAAAGAGGCAATTTTTAAATGTTAAAGGAAATCAAATACACATTCATATCTGTTAGCATGTGTTCCTCCCCTTATAAAATATTTTCAAAAATACAACTAGATCAGGCTGATAATCACTGCATCAAAAACCAGTACATATTATGGTCACATTACAAGCAACAAAGCTGAGCTGGGTGATTTACGATAATATCACTAAAACCTTGTGATATATTTAGTGAGTGGTAATGGTAAAGGTTATAATTCCTCTGAGGGACAATAGTGATGAAATAAACCACGAGGGTCAAGTGGATTATGACCTTGTGAAAACTCAAATAATGGAGATGGAGCTTTATAAACTTCCTTATAATAGATAATGCCTTAAACAATTTAAAAGCTGCTCWGTACTCAATTTGGACTTGCCACAGGCTTACTACCGCCTATATATTATTAGAGGAAAACCTGAAAATTACTTCTGTCACTATGAATCTTGCATCTGCTCAGAACCCCCATTTCAGGTGCAATGAGCACTCTTGCTGGGCTCTGAATGCTCCCAACAGACAGTCTGTCACTTCTCCCCACCCCGCATTTGTAGCGCGGCTGCTTATGCAGAATTCAAAGCTTGCAACGCCTGTGGATTGCCGTGTTAGTAATCACATCTGGCAGCATTAATTTTGCTCCTGTATAGTACTATCCTGGGATCAAAGTGTTCCTATGAGATCAAGTGATAGGGCGAGATGAATGACGCTGCTGCTTTACATGCCTGGCAAAAGGGAAGATGGCTCGTTTATCAGTGCAGGCAGATCCTCACTACACAGTTACCCAGACACCCAGCTTTACACACAGATTCCATGGGAGCTGAGGAGCGCTGCGTACCTGAATTTGTGCTGAGATTCAGGTGGAGGTGGAGAAACATCACAGGCAAATGGTGGCTATCCTGGTCTATGTGAATAGATTTTCCTGCACAAACAGTGTAAGAACAGTCCATGGGTTCAGTCCCATAAAAGACTATGACCATGAGTCACTTGACCAAGATCATTCACATACATAGKTTGGGCTCCTTCGTTCTCATTCTTGCTGTAGTTTTCCTCCTGTGTGGCAACCCACCTCACCAGAGCTAGTTTTTTGTACCAGGATACAATACTGAACTGGCAGATTCTGGAGAAGCTGCATGGGTAAGGCAGCTGTGCTGAGGCATATATGTACAGATTTATAAATTAATGCACAGAAAAATTCCTCTGCCAGAAACAGGGAGAAATGTTTGAGACCATGATAGCTTCAAAAACATAGAGGAGGAGGGAAGACAAGAAAACAACACAATGCTTACCCACTTGTGTAACAGCACTGACAATGGCAGGCCTGGGAGGGCATCAGTCTGAAAGCAAACGGGGCAATCAGCTGCCATTGAGAGAGGGATTTTGATTGATTTTAAATTAAGGTCACTGTCCYCAGGCCACAGCTAGATTTGATTATTTCTGTCACATTTTAGAAGAGTGACAGAAACTTCTTTGGAACCAGTGCTCTCTCTCTTCAATGACTCAATGCATAATGATAGTTTTTCCATATGATAATTCCAACTTCCATGATATGCTGTATGCTGGTACAGCACTGACATTCTCCCACTGAAAGCCACTCATCTCTTTCAGTACTCTATTCTGTGCAGTAAGGGCATTAGGAAAGCTGTGGGCAGCACAAAATTACCAGAGGTGTGACATTAAATCTGAGAGGTATTYGCTGCTAGCAGGTGACCAGTGACCATCAACATACACCAAGGGGAAAAGGCGGAAACAGAGCAAGCCCAGCCACGAACCATTTGTCATGGAGAGACCTTTCTGGGTMAGCTGTGATTTGGTTGCTCTCTTTGGATTTCTCTCCTGTTCATTCATTCATTCTCCTCTCAAAACCACCATATCAGCTGCCTGCTGTCAGATGGCAAAGGCCTCCACAGCGGCGTTTGCATGAAGAATCACCTCAGATGGTCTGCTACCTTCATTTAATGGCCTTTCCTTTTCTGTGCTGGAAGCCAGGGTCAGCAGTGTCTGCTCACCCTCTCCACGCTGCTTAAGGTTTGAAGAACCTCTGTCACATCTCCCACCTCTTGCCAGGCTGCATGTGTCTGAAAACCCTTTCAAGCCATGGATCATCACTGCTTGCCTCCTCTGAATCTTTTCCAGCTCTGCTGTGTCCTTTTTGAGAAGGTGAGACCAGAATTCCCGYAGTATTCAGAGCACAGGTCCAGCACACATTTTACAGTGTAAAATCTTTTCCTCTTCATTGCTCTCCTAACAAGTYCTGACATTTGAGTCACTCTTTTGGCCACACTGAGCATGAAGCTGACATTTTCTCAGCTGTGCATGTCGCTGGGCTCTCAACCTGGGGAAAGTGATGGCCAAAATCCATCCATGATGATGGGCAAGAAATAAATGACCAACTGCAACTGCACAGTTGTGCTGTCTGGAAAAAAAAAAAAAACAACAACAACAAACAAGCCACCTTGGAATAACAGTAGTGAATTTTAAATCCCAAGATGCCACAAAATTCCCTCTCAGGCAGCTTGACCTAAATTCCTATGGGTGATGAGGAAGCCACATATTTGGAGCATTTGAAAGAAAAYTAGACAAATGCCCATAAATTACTGTATGGAGAACATTCCTACTCTCTTTTGGAAGATGGATTAGGCAGATGACCTACTAAGTTTTTTTTTTTTTTTCTTCTTTAACTAATTCCTAAAATGTCATGAGTGTGTGTGCTTTACCCTTTCTTAAATCATAATCTGTTTGATCCAGCACCAGTCAAAGGTTTTGAAAAGCCCATTAAACYGCAAGAGGAAATCTTGAGCGGTTTGCTAATATCAGCAGAAATCCAGATGGAATTACAATCATCTTTTATGTACATTCGAGGGCATATTATGTAATACTAGCCACGGATTTAGTTAAATGCACCGCACCTTCCAATAAGCTGCCGGCGACACTTAATAGCGGTTTGAAACCTACAAAAAAACTCTTGACAAAACTGTTTTAAAGTTTTTTAAAGCCCCGGAGCCTGAGGTCAAGGGGCTTGGGATATTCAGAGTCTGATGGGAAAACGGGGACAAGGGAGAGGAAGGATGGAAAAGACGGAGGCGGGCGAGGGAATGAATTAAAAACAGGGGAAAGAGGTGGAGGGGGAAAAAAGAAAAACAAGAAGTCACAATCGTGGTCAATCCGAGATAGACGCAGAGGAGACAAGGTCAAAACTTCAAGCAAGCAGGGAGAAAAAAATTCACGAGATTTATGAACGAGGATGACGCTGCCTGCCGCAGCATCCTCCCGGGTGTCCGGGGCGCCGGTGGCGCGGCTCCGCGGGACCGCGGGCGCTCCTGACCGCACACCGAGCGCTTCTCATCGCACACCGTGCGCTCCTGACCGCAGCACTGTGCCCTTCTCATCGCACACCGTGCGCTCCTGACCGCAGCACTGTGCCCTTCTCATCGCACACCGTGCGCTCCTGACCGCAGCACCGAGCGCTTCTGACCGCAGCACTGTGCCCTTCTCATCGCACACCGAGCGCTCCGCACCGCAGCACCGTGCGCTCCGCACCGCACACCGAGCGCTTCTCATCGCACACCGTGCCCTTCTCACCGCAGCACCGAGCGCTCCTGACCGCACACCGAGCGCTCCGCACCGCAGCACCGAGCGCTCCGCACCGAACACCGTGCGCGGAGGGCGGTGCGCGGGGCGGTCCGTGGGGCGGTGCGGAGGCCGAGCTGCCGGGCGTGGTGCAGGTTGGGCGGTGTTTGGAGGGCGGTCCGTGGGGCGGTGTTTGGAGGGCGGTGTTTGGAGGGCGGTGTTTGGAGGGCGGTGTTTGGAGGGCGGTGCGCAGGGCGGTCCGTGGGGCGGTGTTTGGAGGGCGGTGCGGAGGCCGAGCTGCCGGGCGTGGTGCAGGTTTGTCGGACCCGCCCCCGGAGCTCGCCCCGCCCCAGCGCTCCCCGGCCCGCCCGGCGCGGGGGGAGCGGGAGCGGTACCGGGCAGGGCAGGGCGGCGCGTCCCGGCGGCGGCGGCGGCCGCGCTTGACAGAGCGGGCGGCGGCTGCGGCCCCATGGAGCCGAGCTAGGGGCTGCCGCACCCTCCACCGGAGGTAGGTGCCGCGGAGCGGCTGCGCGCCGGCAGCCCGGGCCGGGCGGAGCGGTGACAGGTTGGCCGTGGCGGCGGCGTTTTGCGGGAATCCCACCCGCCGAGCCTTCGGGCGCTGCGGTACCGTGGCGAGGGCGGCGGCCCCGCGGTCCCYGCTTCGGCCCGTGACCATTGTTTGTGGTGGCGCCGAGCGGGCGCAGCGAGATCCCGGTGGCGGCGGCGGCTTTGTGCGGCTTGTCCCGGCGGTGCGGCTGCGGCGCTGGCGGGGCGCGGAGGGACCGCGGCGGGGAGAGGGACGGGGCGAGACCGTGACCGCACGGGCAGAGCCACCCACCCCACCCCCGCCCTTCTTCCTCCTCCTTCTCCTCCTCCTGCCTGCGCAACTTCTCCAAAATCACGCCCGTGGGTGCGCGGGGAGGAGCGGCCGTGTCGGGCCCGGGCATCGCCCCCGCGGGTCGTGGCTCTGCCCCACGGGCGACAAAACACACACGGCAGCGGCGTTAAGCGCCCGGCTCCGCGCTCGGGGCGAAGGAGATTAGAAAAATGTAGGGTGGATTTCAAGATGGGCGGTAATGGGATGATTTGGGGTCCCTCGCGTAGCCGGTCACAGGCGAGAAGCAGGAGGAGAATTGACCCTTCGGAAGTTGGGGCAGAATTGCTCCCGCTGCCGCYCGGTTTCCTGGCTGAGCCTGCCAGCGGACGGACTGTCACCTGCGTCTCCCTTGGTGGCTTTTCCTGAGGAGGCTGTGCCGGGGCGTGGGTSATCTGCGCCGGCGTCGCCGCGCTCCGGGCGTGCGTGGCGGTGGTGCCAGGGTGAGATGCYGTGCTCCAGAACTTGTGCATCTCTCGGGGGAGATGCTGCGGGGTACAAGCGCCCTGGGCGGGAGTTGCAGGGCAGTCATTCTCCTTTCATTTCCCYCCGTCATAATCTCTCTTTTTTGAGAGATTGGTTCAGCTTTATGTCCCTTTTTTATGTTCAGTTCTCGTTGCTGAGGATACTTTTCTTGTGTGCCGTTCTCCATCAGAAGTATGTTTAAAAAAATTCAAATGCAGGATTTAAAGTATATATATTGTCTAMTGGGAATGTTTTGTTAAAGAGGAAAGAGTATCTGGTTGCCCATTAATTCTTCAGGTATTTTCCATTTAGACTTGATGAGGAAATGTTCTTTTTTCTAAGTAACCTTTCACGTCATTTATCATTAGCAAATCGGCTTAGCATTCAAAGTAAAGATTTCCTCACAAATATGCTACTGATTACTAGTGTTATGCCTGAAACACTCCATAGGACAGAAATCAGCACACCTCTGKTTTTTTAAATATGTAAATTTGGAAAAGCCTTTCCTTCCATTTCGTGACTCTGTGAGTGGCCCTGGTTAATCAGCTGTAACTACWATAACTTGCTCAGGAGGCTGCTGATAGCCGATGTGATTTCCTGCACCACTCTGCTAGAGCAACCTGATCAATTAATGCATCCTCACTATTTTGTCCTTGGCATYTCTAATGAATTTTTGAGCATTTCTGTGAGGAGTTCCAGTAGGGAGATGCTGAAGTCTCTTTCACCTTCAGAAATCCTTGAAGCCAAACTTGAAGAGGGAATAACTGTCTGAGTTGACTGAAGAAGGATGCTGAGTTCCCGTGCATGCATTAAATTCTGGAGGTGATCCAGTAGTCACAGCTATCCGGGTCAGATGGAAATCACCTCGGTGATGGGTTTTGCAGGGTCCTGATCGCTTCCTACCAAAAAAAAGCTTTTTCAACGTGCACTGATTGCCTTGTAGACATGGGCTGGAGGATGGAGCTGGTTGTGTACCAGGCACGGCATTTGGGATGAGCAAGTCACACTGAGCACCCTCCAAATTCAGGATGCTTGAGCTCACTGTGCAGAGCCTGCAGCAGTAGGAATTACAGGGAAAAATGCATTTAGATATAACAAAGGCGGCTGGCTCATCTCCTGCATGAGGAACTCATTTTTAAAAAAAAATCTGGCTCCCGTTTCTGCCTCTGACACAAACTGCCAGTGTAGCTGTGGGCAAATAATTTCATGTTTTCCTCTCTCCTCATCTCTGCCTGGCCYACCAAGGTCTCATCTGTCCTGGACTGTCAGTTCAGACCCCAACCCAAACCTTTTGCTTTCCCCCAGTGCCTTGCACACAGCATTCCATGCAGGTGGAACCTCTCTGCTCCGAGGGGATACAGTTTGACATTCAAATGCTGCTGCTGGAGCCAGTCACACAGACATAACAGCCTCACAGCAGCCCATCAATCTCTAATCCTACCCCTCTTCTGATGCAGTCATTCCAGCTGCTAATCAAAGGCCCGGCGTGGTTGGAGCTGTGTTTGGCTGCTGCTCACCCTGGTGTCAGCGATCCTGCATCCACAGTGGAGATGGGCTGAGCATCTCCAGCTCCTCAGGACAGACACTGTCACCTCAGCCTACACAATCCACAGCACTGAGGCCTGGTGTGATTTACAAATACAGATTGTAGCTAAAGGGTAAATTGCAACAACATCACAGAAAAATGACCAGAAAATGGAAGCTCGGGCGTTCTGCGCAGCCAGCTGTGTGCTGCTCGGGAGGGAGCGGAGATGGAAGGGTGCAGCTCCCTCGGCGCAACAACGGCATTCTTATTTTAGCATGGAAGACGGCCAGAGATAAGGAGTGGTTGTCATCCGGTTGGTTGGAGAATGAAAAAACAGAAAAAATAAAAGCTGTGTGGAAAAATATTTTGATGTAGGTACTAAAGGAAAAAAAAAAAAGCAGATAACCTTGCAAGTGATAGACTAGACATGTAAAGCTGGCAGGACAAGGCTTCTCCTGTAAAATCCAGAATGATCCTAATTAAGCCCAGACCCTGTTAAATGACACATGGCTTTATTTATTTCAGATGTTTCTAGGTCCTAAAAATGGGGCCAAATGTGAAGAGTTTGATGTGGCAGATAGTTTAACCCCAATTACTTTTACATAAATCACGTGCTTGTTACAGTAGCTGAGTACCTCTGATGGGTGCTCCACAGCTACTGAGAATAAAAAAACAAAATTAAAAACTCCCCAGAAAAATTTATGGCAGAGCAGGTGAGGGTTTGTGGAAGAGAGGTGGCCATCCTGCCTGCAGGGTGCACAGGGATGTGGGATCTGTTGTGGTGCTGGTCTCTACCGGCAGCTGAAATGGTGGCTTTGTAGAACAGGCAGCCAGAGAAAGGGACATAAAATGGGAGCTGACAAATATTTTTGTTATGAAACTGGGATGGATGAATGATTTCTGGGGGTACTTGCTTTTATTTTATTTTATTTTGAGAGGAAAGAGASGGTTGGTGATATGCGGTGCTAGCCACGGATGGCTTTGTTTTGAGATCAGGCTGTGCTGGGTCCTGCCTCCAGAAACAGCATCTACAGAAACAATACAGTAGAACACTGCCCAACATTGCTTGAGTTTCACAGACTGTTTGCAGGATGAAAAAGTTTTCTTTATCTTAGGTTCAAAGCCCTAGGCTTAAATCCTCCCAGCAGACTCTGGGTTCCAAAAAGGAGGTGGCTGTATGAGAGGTCCTAGGCTGCAGGGATCTTTGTTAGCCTCAGTTCTCCCAGGGAATTTTTTTCCTGGGTTTGCAATATCGCCCATCCCTCCCAGGGCTCTGAGCTCCTCTGTAAATAGGCCATTCTGTGGAGGAGCTGCTCTGCCGGCTGATTTAATGCTGCTTGTTAGTTCTGGCTTTCCTTTTTTCCCACCCCCACCCAGTTGTATCCACRCTGTCCTTTAGTGTACAGAGCAGTGTGTAACATGAGTTAGGTGAGTTTACAGGGTTGCATCTGTAGGATTTTGCCGGTTCTGTGGGASGCTGGGTGTCCTGGCCTCTGGCTGCAGCTCCACACTCGGGTGCTGGTTTTGGAGGTGAGTGCCTGCATTCCTCTGAGAAGGACCTGTTTCCAGCMTCCTGTTGTATTTCCTAGTTAATAGAGTCACAGAATAGCTGGATTAGAAGGGACCTTACAAGTCATCTACTCCAACCTCCCTGCAGTAAGCAGGGATATCTTCAGCCAGATTAGGTTGCTCAGAGCCCTGTCCACCTGATCTGGAATGTTTCCAGGGATGGGACATTTGSCACCTCTCTGAGCAGCCTGTTGCTGTGTCTCACCACTCTCACGGTAAAAAAGTCTTCATTATGTGCAGTTTAAATTGACCTTAATTAGCTRTCTATTGAAACATCTGTCCCTGTAGTCTGTCCCTGCCTGTCCTGTAGGTCTTCTTTAGGTACTGTAAGGTCTTCTGGAGCCTTCTGTTCTCCAGGATGAACAGCCCCRTTCTCTCTCAGCCTGTCCTCATAGGAGAGGTGTTCCAGCCTCTGATAATCCTCCTGGCCCTACTCGGAACCTGCTCCAACAGGTCCATGTCTTTCCTGTGCTGAGGACCCCAGAGCTGGATGCAGTATTCCAGGTGGGCTCACAAGAGTGGAGGGTGCCCCTGATCCCACTGTTTGTGTCACTGAAGAAGACAYTGAAGGGTACCAGTGCCAATATGGATCCTTGAGTGACACCACTCCTCAGTGATCTCAGTTTGGGCGTGTAGTTGTTTGGAAATGCTTCTTCAAGACATCAGAGGGCTAGCTGTTCTCAAGGATTAAACAAAGAGYCTGGGTTGGTGTCCTGTGTCCTTCACCCTCTTCAGAAAAGAAGTGTCCTTAGCTTAGTGGCTTCCAGGTCCCTGTATTGCTGCCATGCCTTGGGAGAGGCCAGAGAGCCGCCCCTGGAGCAGGAGRAAGGGAACTGCTGTTGTCCTGCAAGAGAAGCTGGCTGTGGGTTTGGGTTCCCCACAGCAGGCACAGAGATACCAGAACAAGCCCCAGCACTGACTGACTGTGCCCAGAATGTTTTACCATCGTGTTACCTCTGAGTCAATGATTGGGGTGAGCTCTGCTTGGTGGAGCTGAGGGAGGTTTGCTGTGACACCTCGCTAAGTGTGGCTGCTGATAGGTCCCTGAAYGTTCTGGGTGCAGCTCCAAATTCAT